ATAGTATAGTATAGTATAGTATAGTATAGTATAGTATAGTATAGTATTATACTATACACTATAGTATAATATAATTGAGATCAAACCACAATCATTCATGGTCCAAAATCATTGCAAGAGAAGCTTATGCAACATCTGGGTCCAATGCATGGGGAAAGAAAGAACCAATTTTCAAGGTCTCTAGAAGACCAATAAAATTGGGATTATCTGGATTTTGGGGTATGTTGCTTCAAATATCATAATAGAGTAGGCTTGCCCCTTGTCCCACCAACTGGTACTTTCGTAGAAGGGATCCAAAACATGCCTACCTTATTGGATCTCATATAATCAGGAAAAAAAATCAGAAATAGATTGTTTTGCAAATAAACCAGCCCTATGCCATGAAGAGCTGTGTAGATGGCAGTCAGAACCATGCATAAAGAAAAAAAGGTCTTTTTGAAAAATCCTTTCAAATATTTGAAAATTGTTGCCATAGCCAATCACAGTATTTTTAGGACAGTAAGCTCTACCAGGAGATAAAAAGAAACATGGCAGAAAAAAGAAAAAAAGCCACTTTTAGATTGCTGTCAATAATTATGTCTGTGTAGTCACTGAGTTGTGTTCTCCTCGAAACTATGCAAGTGAAATGTTCCCTGCCTGAGAAATATATTTGTATGAAATTTGATATTCAAAACACTATTTTTAAAATAACCACTCATATTATAGCAATAAATGGAAAACCAAAGCTCCGGCACTTTTGATAGGCAAACTTCACTACTGAACATCTCTCTCAGAAGGGTACTCTGTTTACTTGAGTCCCCATAGCAACTCTAGCTCACAGATGGGAATGTGTTTCTTAGCAACCATCCTTGGCAATTACACATAGTTCCACTTCTTTGTCTCCCTAGACTTGGCAAGGACCTGCTTGATTCATGAGAACTCCACTGGCACCTCAGTTGAGACCATGGCAGCAGAGGTGAGATACATGTTTGTGAGGAGGGCTTAACTTTGTGCATCTTAGAGAAAAAAGTAACCCCTCCCAGCCAGGCAATTACACACAAAGGTGCTGATGTCCTATGACCTACACAAAGCCTCTTGGTTTTTAGGCCCAGGTCAGAACAGTAAGCCTTGCTGTGTTCTTGCTGCCACTCCAGGCCACATGTGGCAGGCATGTGGGGCTCTCCTTGGCCACCTCTGGCAACTGATTTGGAGCCACATATGGTTGGCAACTCTGGGACATGCCTGGCATGTATATAGCTCATTTATAATCATCATTGTGCTTTTCCCAGCCAGAGGTTTTGTAAACCTGGCCAGGCATCTGTATGAGCCAAAAAAGACCAGTGGCTTGTTTCAGGGTCAGAAGGGGCTTGAGGAAATTAGTCCCTTACTTGAGTACCAGCAGACACCAGAGATGGCTAGCCCCTTCCTCCACTATGGACATGACCCTGAGGAGATTAGCCCTGTGCTCCGATACCTACAGCATCCTGAAGAATTTACTGTCTTGTACCAACAACCACCAAAGTCTGAGGCAGAGATTGATACTGCAATCCAGCAGCCAGAGGAAATCAGTCCTGTGCTGCAGTATCTACAACAGCTGGAGGAAATTGGCAGCAACCTGCTTCAACAGGACAGCTGCCACATATCTTCCTGCCCAAGAATTGTCAAGAAAGTGGAGACTGTGACTCAGGTGAAATACATGGGGACTGGCCAAGTCTATCTTTGCAATTTTTTTCAGGATCTTCAGGGGGAAGCAAGGAAAATATTGTACCTATAGTGCTGATTTGGAGACAAGGAAGTAAGGGAAGGTAATAAAGATCTATATTCAGCAAAGGTCCATGAGTTAAATCCTAAAAGGCCTTAGTTTTATCTTTCCAATACAACTAAGCAAATGGAACTGAAATTAACCATTTCAGCACTGAAATAATAAAGGATAGTTTTGTTGGTCCTGAAAATCCTTCTCAACACCGTGTATGATGCAGTTCTTAAGCTCATGTTTATTATGTTACATTTGTTCAGTAAATGTCTAAAGTAAATATACAGTGTGTACACACACACACACACATTAATATGTATATTAAGTAAAGTACAAAGGTAATATTCCTGTCTGTATTATAAAATGGTCAGGATATGGAGATACAAAGCTAATTTGCTGATCTTACTGTCATAATTATGAAGGTAATAACAAGGCTGGGAATTGTGGTAAGTCATTTCCCCTGTAGCTTACTAAAGTGTCTTTCTTTCTTTTTTTAATTTTTGAATGTATATGCCACTTCAATCACCAATATAATTATAGAAATCATACACATTAGAGTTGGAATTGTTGTATCATTTGATCTTATTAAATGTTGCCTGTCTGATCTTCTTAACTTTATAATTTCTCACTCATATCCCTCTGTAAATGGAAGTCTAAATATTTGGAAGATCTATTCTTTATAATGTGGTTAAGGTTTTTTTTTAATCTATTCTGTTTTCCCACCATTCTGTTTCTATTCCTGAATTAAAATCCTTCCTTTCAGAGTAAATTTTTATCAAGCAGTTATCCCACTTTATTCTTAGATGCTCCAGATGAAAATATCCTCTATTCTCTTTTCATATTTTGTTTTAAACCTAAATTCCTTTTGTATCATGCTTAGATTATTTTTGCTATTTAATGTAAATAGGAACTT